GCTTAGTTCCCTTAAGCTAGTTTATAATGTCTTAAATAATAAGTAAAGAGAACTAGTCTTAAATAGTGTTATTATTTAGGGTTCTATAGTCCTAGCATACTCTAATTTTTCTGTTCTTCTTTTTTGCAAAAACTACTGCAGAGGCTATAAAGCTATTACTTTTATAAATATGTCTTTAACTTAACATTTTATTAATGTATTTTTAGAAGGCTTACTTTTAATTCTTAGTTAATAGTTAGAGTTTATGCGCTTTTAGCTACAGGTTTAGTTTAAAGTTAATTGTGTAGTTTTATAGTTAATATAGCAGTAGCTCTTTAGAGTTCTCTAGGGTTTTAAACATGTCTTTATAGTCTTTATATTCCTTAAGTAGTCCTTTCTTAGGTTCTTCTGCAACTTTATATATTTTAAACTATTTTATGTCTTATTTTATTCTAAGTTTTTTAAATAAAACTTTTTTTAGTTTTTATTTTATTAGTTAGATTGCTTTTACTTTTAGTTTTTAGTATAGAAACTTCTAAGGTTTTTATTTTTTTAAAAAGTAACTACTTCCTTCTTTAGCTTACTAGTAAGTAAGGCATAAGTCTTTATAGTAGGCTAACTATGTTATGCACATGTGCTTTTGTTTTATTTTTATTATTATTATCTGCTAATTAATTTATAGGTTGTGTTTATGTAGCTAGTTATATCTAAGAATAGCTTAATATTTTCCTCTAAGTAGTAGTATGCTGTAGAATATCTAGTCTATTATAGTTTTTATTTTAGTAGTTAATTTTTCTATTTTAAGTTAAATTATCTCTTCTCTGTACTCTATTAAGAAGGTGTCTGCTAAGGATACACTAAACAGTGTTTTTTTTTTCTAATATAGTATATCTTTCTAGTAGACCTAGGTTAAGTTAATTACTGTAAACATGTAACTGCTGTTAATTAGTGTAAGGCCTTTTTATTCTTAGCTGTTGTGTTGTAGAGTTATTTTAGTAGTTAGGCTTTAACCTAGTCCTTATCCTACTACTATAAGAACATGTAATTTGTAGGGCGTCTTATTATAATCTATTCTGTTGTCCTCTTCTACTGCTAAGGTGTTAGTTATGTGTTTATATGCCTAGTTTTAGCTTATTTTAAATTTTTAGTATTCTTTTATTATATATTTTTTTACTAGGCATTAGCTATTATCTACTTTATAATAGTGTAGCATCTAGTTGCTTTATTAGTGTACTTTTTATTAGAAGTAATAAAATACATAGGTAGGTGTAAATTTACACTCTGTCTAGGGTTTTTACTTGTGTTCTAGGCTGGCGCTACAGTAGTGGTAGTTTAGCATTTTGCATGTAGTAGACATGCTAGTAAGAGTATTAGCCTATAATTTGCTTTTCTAAGTTCCTTATAGCTACTATTCTACTTAGTGTTTAATTAGCTAGTGTTTAATGCAGTATTTACTTATGTATAAATACTATGTAAAAGAATACTTTATATTAAAGATAGGTATTAGTTGCACTTATGTCTATTTAGAGTATTCTTTAGTCTTTTTAATTTGCAGGGGGTGTTTTTAATATTTATAGTTAAATTTATTATGTTAGCAACTTTTATAAAAAATGTAATATTCTTTTATTTACTTTATTTCTAGTTCTTTGCAGGTAACTGCTAGCAGTAGCAGTAGTGTGTTAGGTTGTGCATAGGACAGAAAGGGCGTTAGTAAGGGCGTGCTTCTTTAGTCTAGTCCTTTGCCTTTGTTTAGGATCTTCTAGAAGAACTTCTATTATTTGTTATAGTTTAAGATGTTGTAGTATACTATAGCTATTCTTTATATAACTTTGTAGGTATAGATATTGTTATAAAGCTACACTTTATACAGCTTTATTAGGCAGTATTACTTATTATAAGTATTACTGCATTTCTAGTACTTATTATCTTAGAACCTTTATGCTAATTTAAGAGGTAAGATTCTAGTTATAGATTATTTTATTAAGAATACTTCTTCTCTGCTTTTTACATTTTTAATGTAATTAGTAATTTATAGTAGGTCTTACTATCTTTCTAAGACAGCAGCTTATTTTAGGGCCTAAAAGACTTTATCTTTGTTTTATATTTTAACTTCCTAGTAGTTCTTAGAGTAATTTTAAGGTTTATAATTAGCTCTGCATCTCTAGTAAAGTCTTTTATCTAGTCTCTTATAGATCTTAGCTAATAATAGACCTAACTTTATACGCATAGCTTTTATAAAGTGTCTCTTATCTTTATTCTCTAGGTTCTTAGAGTCTAGGCACTAGTTTCTGTAGTAGCCTACTTTTTTATAGTTAAGGCACACTTTTTTCTTAAGCTATTTTCTTTGTTTCTTACTTAATAGTAGCTTCTTACTATAATAAAACTTAGCTTTTTTTTTAAGTAAGCCTTATATATATTTAGTATAACTAAAATTTATTAGTTTACTATTAAACTTAAAATTCTTCTTTTTTTTATAGAATACTTCTATCTTTTAAGGTGTTATACTAGGACGTTTTTCCCTAAGACGTTCTTAATGCTGCTTGTTATAAGTAGTTGCCTTTTATATATATGCTTTAAAGGTATCTAGTTTACCTGCATGCATAAATTTGTTTTTTACAGCGTTTAATAACCTGTTATAGAACATTTTTATAATAGCTTTTTAATTTATCTATCTGCTAATAGCTAATTATTTTTAGAATTATGTTATATAAGTTTAAAGTGTGCCTTTTTTTTTATAGCTTTCTCTTTCTAGTTAGCTAGTTTATAAATTACTGTTAGTGCTTATTTAAAAGTGTTAATATTTTAAAAGATCTTCTAGGTTTTAGAAAGTAGGTTTATTTTATTTATTTTATGTTACATCTAGTTATTTATGTGTAGTTAGAACTATATAGCTAGTAAGCCTTTAAAGTGTAGGCCTATTTAAAAAATTATTTCCTTATTAGTTCTAAAGGCACCTTTATTATATTATATATAAAGGTAACATTGCGTAAAAAATAGTTTAAAGTTTTTAGCTATTTCATTAAATAGTTTTAGTAGGGCTAAACATAAAGTTTTTTTAACTCTATACTAGCCTTTTCTGCAGTAGTGTTTCTAAGTTTAGCTATTTCTATGTGTAGCGCGTGAAGTTGCTAGATTAGTAGTTGTTATGTGTGCTAAGTAAGTTAAGCTCTTAGGTTTTTAAGTTTTTAGTAAAGGTATTATATTTATTAGGCTTACTTAGCTTCTACCCTAGACAGGATCTTGCTAGTGCTAGCTGCACTAGCTCCTGTTATACTAGTATTAGAGGAAGAGGAGTAAGATGCTATACTTTATAAAAAGTAGTAATTAATGTTATAATTTTTACTTTAAGGAAATAGTCCTTTTAAAGTACAATAGCCTATTATAACATTAGTAAGAGAAGGGGAAGAACTTAGCTAAATTAGGTGTATAGTCTGTCTAGCAGAGTGGGTAGGCGGAGTTTAGAAGGCAGGTTGTGGTTTGCTCTTTGTGGCTGTATAGGCAAGCCTAGCGTTACTAGTTTGTAGTGAACAGGGATTAGAGGTATATATGTTACAAGATATACAAGGCAGCTAAGTTCTTATTAAAAAGGTATAAAGCCTCTTAGTCTATTAAGTAAAGTAGAGTAAATAATAAACTAAATATTAATTACAGCCTTTAAGTAATAGCTAGGACTAAGACTATATACATAGATTTGCATGCACTTGCATGCGTTGCATGAACTGCATGCACTGCCTGCAACAGCCTGCAACGCCTGCACTGCCTGCAATGCTAGGGTTCCTACTAGATGACGCATTCCTCTACACATCTGTCTAAAAGCCGGAGCCATTCCTCTTCTAGCTTATCACGTGACTCCTCTAAAACAGGCTTAAGAATTGTCCATCTGTTATCGTTCGTGGAGTGGGGAACTGCTAATTGGTTCATTATGGCCTGTTCGTTGGCCGTAACAATGTTGTGCATATAGTATATATTTATATAACCTTTTAGGATATCTAGAAAAATGTCTATATACTAAGTTTCCTAGATATTTAGCTATTAACATAAATTAATAAAGATTTTTATTTTATTTATAAAAATGTTAGTTATATAGTTAACTTATTGTGACGGCGCGTACCGCGTCACATGCTCTGCGGCATCAGCTCCCTCGCTTGCGCAACGAGTAGCACGCTAGTGCTACGAGTAGCGCCTTGGCAGGGGGCACACATGTATATTTAAACTCGCAGAGCAGCTCCTCTGCTCCTTAGTTTAATCTAGTTGAGTTACACTACCTCTTGCTTGTAGCTTGAGCATGCCGACCGTGACAGCTGCGCTATAAAACCGCAACTTCTAGCAGCTATACAGTGTGTAAGACAGTGGCAAAGAGCTAGTTTAGGCAAAGTTAAGGTCGCAGCCAAGTTAACAATAATAGACAACAAGATAAAGCTTTTGTACAACCTTAGCAGCTAGGGTGGTGACTATTACAAGACTTAACAAGCTACCTATCTTAGCTTGATCATGTGATCAAGTTAAGCTGCTCATCATCTCATTAAGCTCCACTTGAGCCAGCCAGCCGGCTTGACTTGACTTGCTTGTTGGAAAGTTTGGAAGTAACAGAGTGCTGATACCACTAGAAAGTCGCTTCTCAATGGAAATGATTACATAGAAGGCGTTACGGAAGGAGCTACCCACATCCAACTCTTGAAGAGGCTCCGGTAGTAGTAAGCGTATTTTAAGTATCGCAGGGTTAGAGCTGATTGATAGTGGAGAGCATAGAGCAGTCAATTAGGTAATGTGAGACAACCCAAGTAGATTGAGGTGAGGTATAAGGTCTCTGGAGCGAGAGAGAGCTCAGAGGCAAATATATAGTAGCTAAAAGAGCGCTAGTCCTAAACAGGAAGAGGGTAAGAGGTGAAGGACCCACATTCACCCTGCGATAGGTCACGTGAACCAGTGTCACGTGCGACATTAGGTCCACCACTAGACATATCGACACCACCTTGACATCCGCACCACCAGGGGCTCTAATATAGGGATGATATCATTTTCTACGTATCTTGCACAATATAAACTAACTTCTTGCCTGATATGCCTCCCGTCTTTAGCAGGTCCTTATCCCTCTTGATTCCACGAAGTCCATCCGGCTGAATCTGGATCGGGTGCGATTGTAGCCGACTTTGCCAGATCAGAGATTCCATCTCCAATGTCCATGCCACCGCAAACTCTCCGTCTTGGGGTGAAGCCTCTTTCAGGTACTCCTTATTGAGATTCACGTTGGTCCCAAAGACTGAATAACCTAGTATCCATTCAGGTCGCACATTTTTTCGTCTCATTCTCAACCTATCCGGGAAAGGAGCCAGCGATGTGTATTTCCCACCATCCCTTCCAATGACCCCATAGCAAGCCGTCGTCGAATTTGGACTGCCGATGCAGTCCAGAACATAACAAAGACTTTCGCCGATGATCTCTCGAACCTCCATGATGATGTTTGGCGTCTTATAGTCGAAGCACTGTGCTGCGCCTGCCCTTTCAGCGAGTAGGAAATTGCGGGGAGAGCAGACGGCGAGTGGGATGTAGTTTAGATAGCGCAAGAGCTGGATTGCTAGTGTTCCTGTTGCCGTTGAGCCACCATACACAAGAACATGTGTTCTGCTACTAGGTGCGTGGAACGGTTCCCTTTCCGCTGCTTCGTTAACTAGACCCAAAGACCTCAATGCCAGTCCACAGGTCATTAGCCCCACGCTCAGCGATGCGCCTTCAGGAGGCGGGACGGACTCTGGCAGCTTTATGCAAAATTCGGCCTTTGCGGCAGCGTATTCCGCAAATGCACCATTCATGCACCTGCTAGGATTGCACCCAAAAACAAACGCAGAGACGCGGTCACCGATACGTAAGTCCTTCCGTACGTTCCTTTTGACTTTTACTACGACACCGGCTAAATCCATCCCACAAATCGTGCCTTCCACAGGGCAATTATCGAGCTGCTTAATGTCGGACGGATTCAATGCTACGGCGGTGATTTGGATCAGAACTTCTCCGTCCATAAGATCCGGTATGGGTACGTCTGTCTGAAGCTGCCATTGAGCGTCTGCGGTCGCAACGAGCGCTTTCATTCTTGTAGGGTGCTGCATTTGTCGTGAGAAGGCTTTCGAGTTAGTGTTAGAGAAACTAGCCAGAGACTAGTCGGCGTTTTAGACACTTCGGCGTTCCATTGTTGATACTGTATCGCCGAAGCAGACACGGCGTGTTCGGCGATTTGCCCGGCAACGTGCCGCACTCGATATGATTACCCCACGGCTTTGTCTCGGGGTTTGTCGACAGTTTAGACGCCGTAATACTGCATTTTTGTATTGAGGACATTTACAGACCTTTCTCATGACAATATTTTCTCTAGTCACCATCCTTTCAGTCCTGTTTATCCCATCGTACGAGCTCATGCACTCTTTTCCCAATGGTGACTAGGAAGCCGGTAGCTCTTGTCGGGAGTAGTTGCAGACTTCCTGGGGGAGCGTCATCACCATCAAGATTTTGGAATCTGCTGCATCACCCTATCGACCTCCGAAAAGAAGTTCCACAAGCTCGATTCAACCCTGATGCCTTCTACGATCCAAAGCCGGAGCACCATGGTACTTCGAACGTCAGGGCGGCTTACTTCTGTGATGACGACCCTTCCCGATTTGATGCCGAGTTTTTCGGTATTCATCCACGAGAAGCAGAGGCAATGGATCCTCAGCAACGCCTGCTTTTAGAACTAGTCTTCGAAGCAATAGAATCGGCGGGGTATCCAATGCAATCCTTGCGCGGCTCGAACACCGGCGTTTTTGCCGGCCTAATGGGTACAGATTATTACGACATACAGATGAGGGACCCATTGTACGTATCCCAATACCATGCCACCGGAACTGCACGCAGTATTCTCTCCAACCGGATATCTTACTTCTACGACTGGAAAGGCCCGTCAATTACTCTGGATACAGCCTGCTCCTCTAGCCTCGTTGCTGTCCACTTAGCTGTACAAAGCCTGCGCAACGGCGAATGCGATGTTGCCATCGTAGCTGGTGTCAATCTCATCCTGGGCCCTGAGATGTTCATCTCGACCTCCAATCTCCACATGCTCTCGTCGAGTGCCCATTGCAAGATGTGGGATCAACAAGCGGATGGGTATGCTCGGGCAGAAGGTGCAGTCGTTGTTGTCTTAACGAGGCTTGAGGACGCTTTACTTCGAGGGGATAACATTGAAAGCGTTATTCGTGAGACAGGCGTTAGTTCAGACGGCAGGACTCCGGGGATTACTATGCCTTCAGCCACCAGCCAAATTAAGCTCATCAGGGAGACTTTCAAGAAAACTGGACTGGAACCGCTCTGGCCTGCCGACCAATGTCAATTCTTCGAGGCACATGGTACAGGTACTCAAGCAGGTGATGTAGCGGAAGCAGAAGCGATCAATTCCGTCTTCTCTAAACGTCAAGGGGGTAAAAGTGAAGAAATGAATTCCCGTATTTATGTTGGGTCAGCTAAAACCGTTGTTGGACACCTCGAAGGCGCTGCTGGCATTGTTGGGCTCTTAAAAGCATCCTTGGCCATTCATCACTTAACGATACCTCCCAACATGCATCTGAATCAATTGAACACGGCAATATATGGCTTCTCCGACAACTTGATCGTGCCGACAACGGCGCAGAATTGGCCTCGAATTGCAACCGGGAGTCGTCGCAGAGCATGCGTAAACAGTTTCGGTTTTGGAGGAACCAATGCGCATATCATCTTGGAATCAATCGATGACCAGATTTCAAAGACCTGCCCAGCGGATGATTGCATAAATTCTCGTGGGCCATTCGTCTTCTCAGCAATATCGCCAAGGGCGCTGCGGGAATTCCTCGAATCGTATCGTGATCTACTTATCGCAGAGCCATTGATCAATCTCTCGAAGCTGGCGTGGACCCTCTCGCAAAACCGCTCATCATTTTCTAACAGAGTTGCATTGACTGCAAAGAGTACAGAAGAATTAATCACGAAAATAGACGATAGTATACGTTCTCTACAGCAACGAATGGCCACTATAGAGACAACGACGCGTTCCGGAACTGGCCATGGGATCCTTGGCATTTTCACTGGGCAAGGGGCTCAATGGCCTTTGATGGGGCGCGCATTGCTTCTACATTGTGCTACTTTCGCGAGTGCAATCCAGAAACTCGATAATTTTCTCCACACACTCTCAAGTTGCCCTGAATGGAACATTGCAGATGAGTTGAGGAAGGCTCCAGTAGAAAGTAGAGTGCATGAGCCCGCGTTTTCTCAACCCTTATGTACGGCAGTCCAGATAGGGCTCATCGATGTACTTTATGATTCCGGACTTCAATTTGATATGGTCATTGGGCACAGCAGCGGGGAAATTGCAGCCGTGAGCCAAGAGCTACTCAATGACTACTTAAGCTCACTATTCATAGGCATACGCTGCTCGTTGCGTGTCCGCTGAGGATGCGATACAGATTGCTTATTATCGGGGCCAAGCTGTAGCAAAACCCTGCGCGCATGATGAGCAATCAACATTGATGATGGCAGTCAGTTGCAGCGTACGCGAAGCGTTGAATGTTTGCGAGGACAGCCGATTCGTTGGCAAGATTTTCGTCGCCGCCCACAACTCCCCGTCAAGCACGACAGTCTCTGGAGAAGCCGAAGCTCTAGCTGATGCTAAGGAGTATCTTGAATCTCAAGGAATATCCGCTCGCATGCTGCGAGTAGGCCGTGCGTACCACTCGCCCTTTATGTCAGCGTACTCTTCGCAGTATCTCACCGATCTACAAGCATGCTGCATCAGATATCAACCAGCTTCTGGGCCAGCCTGGATATCTTCTGTTCATGGATACCCCATGGATATAGCTTCGGATTCGTTGAATGATATGCATTGGTTAGACAACTTAGTGAACCCTGTGCTTTTCATGGAAGCTCTCGAGCAGGCGATGGAAGACCATGGACCGTTCCCCGCTGCTCTAGAGATCGGTCCGCATCCAGCCCTGGAATCGCCGATTATCCACACAGTCCTGAAATCTTCTGGAAGCGCGATTCCTCACCATGGCACACTGGCGCGTGGTTCAGACGACTTTGACGCTCTCATGGAAGCGCTCGCATTCCTTTGGTCAATTGAAAATCCTCCTTCAATCGATCTATCCAAATTCTGGAGAGCATGCAAAGGCGTCGGCTTCAAACCTCCTCTGAGGCTAAAAGACCTCCCCAACTATCCTTGGGATCACTCGGTGTCATACTGGAGAGAATCCAGAATTTCGAGAGAGTTTCGTCTCTCTGGTCAGCCTTTTCATCCACTACTGGGCGTGCAGACAAGCGTTTTTGATGGTCAGATACAATGGCGGAACATCTTGCGTATCGAGCATATTCCTTGGGTCAAAGGTCATGTGGTGCAGGGTGAGATTCTCTTCCCAGCTGCAGCCTACTGCTCAATGGCACTCGACGCATCACTTGTGATCTCGGAGGGCCGTACTATCAACATGGTGGTACTGGAGGATGTACACTTCGAAGCTCCTTTGTCTCTTGGTGATGATCAGCAAGGCGTGGAGATTTGCTTCACTTTGCGAAAGCTAAATGGAGAACACGATGATACCTTTGCTTCCGCAGACAAAACCCTGGAAGCTGAGTTCTCTTGCATCGCAGGAAAGGCAGGAAGTTCACATTCTCTCCGCCGAATGGTACGAGGCAAAGTCCGGATACGTTTCGGCTTACCTTCGCCAGATCTGCTACCTTATTCATGTCCAAGCTATTCTGGACTGCGCTGCGTTCCCACCCAAGACGTTTACCACCATCTTTCTACAATTGGTTTGGAATTTGCTGCCATGTTTCAAGGGCTTACTTCAGCACATCGCAGGCTCCACCACGCTCAGGTCACTGCAGAAAAGCCTATGAGCAGGTTTCATCTACATCCTGTACTTCTCGACTGGTATTTTCAGTCAATGCTTGTCGCATATGCGGCACCAGGTGATAGGTAAACCATCCAATCGCTTACTTTGCTCCACTATTCCACGCTAACATGAAACAGAAGCCTTTGGGCTCCATTTTTGCCACAGCATATCGAAAGGATCAGGCTGAACCCACTGGCGTGGATGAATAGTGATCTAGTACCTCAGAGCGTCCACATCATATCTGACATCACGGCCGTCCTTCCATCTCAGGAGAACCAGTCGCCAGTTATCGTTGGCGACATAGGAGTCGCTTCGCTAAACGCATCCCGTACCGAATTACAAATTGAGGGGCTGAAATGCGTTGCACTCTTCGCCAGTCCACCTCAAGATGACTGCATGCTGTTTAGCCAAATGGCATGGAAGCCCTGTATTAGCAATGGCATTGTTCTCGATTATGACGCCCGCAAGCATTTTGATGTGGATACAGCTCTAGTTGAAGCATGCGAAAGAATTTCACTATATTTCTTTAAGCAGCTGCGGATCCTGGTGGCTGACTACGAAGTGCCAACTCAACACCGTCCTTTATTTGACTTCATTGATTACCTTCTTCCAACTGTCAAGGAGGGCAAGCACCCGACCGCCAAAGCGGAATGGTTTCAAGACGATATTAAAACAATTGAGAATCTCTCTGCTCGATATTCGGAATCTGTGGATGTCCAACTCATTTCCGCAGTTGGACATAGAATTGCGGATGTTGTTTGCGGCTCTACTAACATGTTAGAACATATGCTCGCAGACTCAATGCTAGGCCGGCTATACACAGATGGCATCGGACTTCGGGCTATGAATGTTGGCCTATCATCTGGAATCGCCCAGATTGCGCATCGATACCCACGTATGAATATCCTGGAAATTGGCGGTGGAACAGGAAGTGCAACAGCAAGCGTCCTAGCCTCCCTCGGGAACACCTTCACTTCGTATACCTTCACCGATATCTCTTCCGGCTTCTTTCAGTCAGCCCAGGAGAGGTTCCGAAAATGGACTGGCAAAATTTCATACCGCACTCTGGACATCGAGCAAGACCCCGACGTTCAAGGGCTAAATTCCGAGACTTATGATCTTATCATTGCATCAAATGTCCTCCACGCTACACGATATCTAAACGCAACTATGAGGAACGTTCGCAAACTACTACGTCCGGGAGGCTATCTCGCCATGGTCGAGTTTTCAGGCGATGTACTCCGGATTGGTTTCATGGTATGCGGACTGCCTGGCTGGTGGCTTGGTCAGGATGATGGACGCCGCTTTAGCCCAAAACTAACTTGCAATCAATGGAATGATCTACTAAAGTCTACTGGGTTCTCTGGAACCGACACTATACTGCACGACAGCTCTAATCTTTCGCTCCACGCCTTCTCAGTTATCATCTCGCAAGCCACCAACACCGACTTTGAACGTATCAGGACTCCGTTAAGGTGTTCTCACCCTTCACTAGCCGATGCTCCGATATTGATTGTCCGAGGACAGCAGGCATTCTCGACTTCGTTGATGCCGGAGATGCAGGCCATGCTCGAAAGTTCTAGCAATCATGTCATAATTGTGGACTCTTTCGACGATGTTAGCGCCGATTATCTTGCACTTAATCCCCATATCATATTGTTTGAAAATTCGGATTGCCCAATTCTCGGATCCATGACATTTCAGTCGCTACGGGTGCTCCAAAATCTCGTCCGGCGGGCTCGGACGATCCTGTGGCTTACAACCGATCGCGAAACGAACAATCCATACTCTAATATGATCGTTGGACTCGTCCGTTGCATAAGCAATGAGATGCCAGATCTCGCTATGCAAGTACTTGACACGGATTGTAAGTCCGATACTACAATTTCTCTCATTATGGAAGCCTTTCTCCGCTTAGTCACAGCGCACCATACGAAATCTAACACACTCTGGACTGCTGAGCCGGAACTTGCCGTGAGGGACGGCCGACTCATGATACCTCGGATTCTTCCTATCTCAGAGATGAACGACCAGTTGAATGCTTTTCGGCGAGTAATTAGGCGAGATAACAAAGGCTTCAAGCAACCCATTTCTACTTGAGGGTCAAGAGCTGTATTACCACCGATCGATAGCTCTTGGGACCCAACAGTGACCGTTTTCATCCGGAAGTCATCCTTATTTGCAATACGCATATGCAAAACTGTCTCGCTGTTTGTAGTCGTCGGCACTGTAAACAGTAGCACCCATCGCGTACTAGCTTTTAGCCATTCGAAGGAAAGCGTGGTGAGTATCCCGCCATCATGGACCATAGAAGTATATGACCCACACGCCAGCGATGACACCATTTTAGTCAATGCCATTTACTACCTTATTGGGCATAGTCTGGCTGGTAAAGTGTTAGGAAGAAAGTTATTGTTCCACAACGGTAACAAACAATTGGCTGAGTACTTGCGCAGCAACTGGAGTAACAACTGGAGTAATCAAACAGCCGGACCTGAAATCTTCACTTCAATTTTCGACGTCACCGGCGATGATTATCATTCAGATGTCATTCTCCATCCACACTCCACCAAGCAGCAAATCAAGGCAAGCCTGCCTTCGGGATTAGATTCATTCATTGACCTCTCAGCAAATGAGGGTGAAAGGGATAACACGACTCAAATTGTGGCAAGCCTTCCTTCCTCAGCCCAGATTATCTGTACACACGACCTCGTCTCGACCAATTCTATATATCCAGGCGAACAAGCAACGTTTAACGCAAAACCATTTTTGAAGAATATCATATCCCGGTTCAGTGACACAAATTTCGAAGTGTACAAAGCGCCACTGGGGTCTCCAAAGTCAATACTAGGACTCGTAGACTGCATAGGCCCTATGAAAGAGCCAGTCATAGTTCGCCCACCTGATCCGCGGTCTCTTTTCACAGCTGATAAAACATACTTGCTGATTGGGATGACCGGTGATATGGGCCGCTCCATCTGCAGGTGGATGGTGGACTCCGGTGCTCGCAATGTGGTGATGGCGAGCAGAAACCCGTCTCCTCAGAAGACCTGGTGTGAAGATCTTACTCGTGCAGGCGCGACAATTGTTATCAGGACGCTAGATGTGTGCGACAGACATGCGCTGAATTGCATGCTGGAAGAGCTTCATGGCCATCTTCCTCCGGTTGGTGGTGTCGCGCATGCCGCGATGGTGCTCTCAGACACTACTTTCGCAAACATGACATTTCAAGACTGGGAAAAGTCCTTTCAGCCCAAGGTAATTGGCTGCAACAACTTGAACAATGCCCTCAAAGACGATGATATTGAATTCTTCATTCTACTTTCATCCCTTGCTAGCGTCGTGGGTAATATTGGCCAAAGTAACTATGCTGCCGCAAATATGGTATAGCATCACGCTCATGACCCTCCCGCTACGAGCTAACTATGTCGTAGTTTATGACACCCATAGCACACCAAAGGCGTAGTCGCGGCCTTGCAGCTTCAGTAATCGATCTTGGAATGATTATTGGCGTGGGATACATGAATAAAGCGGGGCCCGAACAAATCGAGACGATGGAGAAACGGTACGACTATATGAAAATTTCCGAAGCGGACCTGCACAATATCTTCACCCAGGCAATCATTGCAGGACGGCCCAACTCAGGCTACCCAATCGAGCTCATAACTGGATTGAGGCCAGCCTCAGGGTCTCGAAAACCATTTTGGTATGAGAATCCGGTATTCTCTCATCACCGGGCAATAAAAGTGAGAAAGCGAGACAAGGACCCACAATCATCCGAAAAGGTTACGTTGGTTCAGCACCAGGTTCTCAATGCCGCAAACGAGCAGGACGCACTCGATATTGTCCTCCCGATCTTTTCTGCCCAGCTTGCGCAGATTCTTCAACTCCCATTAAATCACATCAATCTAGACAGGCCGCTTGTAGAACTTGGAGTAGATTCTTTGATAGCTGTAGAGATATCGTCCCGATTTTTCAGAGACTTTGGGCATAGATTATCTGTGCTGAAGATCTTAGGTGGTCTATCGGCCTACGAAAGTGAGTTGGGGAAGATAAATGGAGAAGCAAATGCTAACTTGTCACTACAGTATGTCAAAATGCTATCCTGCCAACAAGAGCCGCGCAACTACATAATATGGCGACGTCTAGTGGCGATAGACATATCGATCCTCCGGAAGACATAGTTCCATCTCATCACCAAGATATCAATGGCAGTCCGCAACGATATCTTCCTAATATCGCCTCCTGCGACGAGCCAGAAGTTAGCGGCCGCTGGGCAGGAGGAAATGTCCGTGTAGAGGAGTCTTTTGGTCAGCCTGTGTCGTCCGCAACAAGCGAAAGGAGTGTCCAGAACAACGGTGATTTAGCATTTCGAAAGCAAGGCAGATTATCTTCGAGGCAATCTCGCGTATGGTACTTGATGGCTTGTTTCGATGACCCGACCATTTACAATTGCACGTGGATGTACGACATCGTTGGGCGGATCGACCCTATTAGGCTTCAGATGGCCATCCAGTTCGCGTTTCAGAGGCATGAATCACTACGATCCGCAATATTTGTAGAAGACAAGTCAGGAGAAGTTCTCCAAAGCGTGTTGCCCACTTCACGTCACCTATGGAGTCACCAGATACTCACGAGCGATTTCAACTCCACGCCTGAGTTTGAGCGAAAGAGGCAGCATATTTATGATCTCCGGAACGGTATTACTATCGCCGTTACACTCCTCTCCTCGTCTAGCGCCCTGCATCATCTCATTGTCGGCTATCATCACATTATCCTTGACGGGACAGGATGGCAAATCGTGCTGCGGGATATCGCACAAATGTATAGCTCCGTGGATACCTTACCCCCGCCCACAGCGCAATATCTTGACTTTGCTCATGATGACCAACTTTATTCTGAAAAAGACATCAACTTCTGGAAGAATCAACTTGATCCAGCACCGGCTCCGTTGCCGCTTTTCCCGTTTGCCCGAAGAAGGCATAGGAGGCCGCTCAACTGCCCGTCTATTCACAATTACAAGAGAGCTATGTCTGAGGAAATATGCAAGACAGTTCGGAAGCTATGTCAGTCTCTAGGGGTCACAATGATGCACTTTCATTTGGCAGTCCTGCAGACTATGCTATCGAAATTTACAGACACAACGGATTTTTGCATTGGCATGGGTGATTCAAGCCGGCACAATGAGCGCTTTGCAGGAGTAGTCGGGTTCATGACCAATCTGCTCCCTTTGCGCCTAAAACTCCAGGATGACATCTCGTTTGCAGACATTGTGCGACGTGCGAAGCTCGTAGCTCTTTCGGCTATGGAGCACTCTGCGGTCTCGTTCGACATATTACTCTCAAAACTCAATATCGAGAGAGATGATTCACACACACCTTTGGTTCAGGTTTGCATCAATTACATTTCAGGATTCACCCGAGATATTACACTTGGAGATGCAGTCCTGAAATACAATACATCTGCGGACGCACTTCAACCTCAAGATCTCGTCCTTACCATTCAAGAGGATGAAGATCATCACATAACTTTACACTTCGCCGTTCAGGATGACCTGTATACTGTAGAACATGCGGAATTGATGGCGGACATCTATATCACTATTCTTGCGACGGCGTCGAAAGATCCGTATCAACATGTTATAGATATCGACTATCTTCAAGACTCGCAAAGAGAAAGAGGAAGGGAGCTAGGAACTGGCCTGGTCGTTCCACAGCTGTCAGGGAGTATTTATGGCTTCATTGACAACGTTGTATCTCGCTACTCCAATTGCTTGGCTGCGAAGGACTGGAGAGGCAACAGCATTACCTACACGCAATTACTTAAGAAGGCAAATACCATTACCAGGGCCCTGTTAGCCTACGATGTGGACAGAGGCACTGCAGTCAGCGTACTCGGTGACCCCACACTAGATCTTTTATGCGCCGTCGCGGCTATATGGCAATTTGGGGCCATATATGTCCCTATCAACATCGGAAACCCATTTGAGCGAAACTCGACCATCAAGCAAAATTGCAAGAGCACTATTGCACTGGCTGTTGGAAATGCTGCCCTTTTTGCTGCCCGACGACTTCAATTTGAAGTTATCCTCGATGTCCCAGTTATAAGCATTCAAACGGTTGGATCAGAAATTATACACAGCCATTCCGGCCCCGAGTCGATCGCGGCTATCCTTCATACCAGTGGCTCGACCGGCGCTCCAAAGGGTGTTGTGTTGACTCACGGCAACCTTTTGACACAGGCTACTGCTATTAAGCATGAAGTTCCTTTGACTCAGCCTGTCGTTCTTCAGCAAAGTGGCATTGAATTCGACGCCTGGCTTTTCGAAATGCTGGTCGCATTCACTTCCGGTGGTATACTCATTATGACCTGCGCCCGCCATGACCCTGAGGCAATCGTTCATCTCATTCTAACTGAAAAGATAAATGTCACATTTGGGGTTCCGTCAGAGTACTTGCTGTGGTTCCAATACGGCTCGGATACCCTCCAAAGGACCGAATGGCGACTTGCGTTCTGCGGAGGTGAATCCATGACCGAAAGTGTCCTTAAGGGTTTCGCGGCTCTCGGGCTTAAAGAACTGGAGCTTGTCAATGGCTATGGTCCTACCGAAGCTTCCTTCTGCTGCTCTATGGGAGCAGTCTCTTATCATTCGACTGAAGTCTTGTTCCCAGTGTCTATCGGATCGGCATTGCCAAATTATGAGGTCTTCGTTGTGGATAAAGACGGGCGTCCCCTTCCATTTGGTTGGATTGGCGAAATTTGTATAGCAGGTCCCGGAGTTAGCCTGGGTTATACCAGTGACTACTCAAATATCACCAACAGTGATTCACTCAACCACGAGCAAGTAGGAAGGCACAGGACGTATAGGACAAGAGACCAGGGGCGGATGCATGAAGATGGCTCTGTTACCTTTCTAGGGCGCATTAGTGGCGACTATTCGATTAAGTTGAGAGGGAACCGAGTTGACTTGATGGATGTCTCCAATACAATATTGAGGACATCGAAAGGCGTCGTGTCGGAATGCGCCACTGTCCTCAGGCAAGCAGAAAGTCCATATCTCGCAGCGTTCTTTGTTTTACAGAAAGGCTGCCCTGCTACTGCCCAACATTCACTGGCGAAGATGATGGAAACTCTTCCATTACCAACCTACATGCGGCCAGCCAGAGTAGTAGAGTTAAAGGCTTTGCCACTATCGGGGAACGGAAAAGTCGATCTTCAAGCGCTCCAAGTCATACCACTACCTGAGGCCGCCGAATCCGCCGAATCACCCACACCACTTACTTCCATTGAGGAGACTATAGTTGAGATTTGGGAAGAAGTCTTGACGAAAACGTTACATCCTACTAGGTTATCTGTGACGATGGATTTTTTCTCAGCTGGTGGTAACTCCATACTGTTACTGAAGGTCCTCGAGAAGTTACGGCAAAGGATGAAACTTAATCTTGGCCTCCGAGACTTGCTCAGAAACCCTACAATAACAGGAATGGCCGCTGCCACTCTTAATTGTGTTACAAACACCTACGACTGCAAAGTTCATCTCACTGACACAAGCATTGACTGGGAAGCCGAAACTTCGCTTACAGGCATTGAGCCTCCTATCCAAGAACCTACCAGGGCTTTAAAAGCCAAGGATGGCGTTGTGGTGCTTCTCACGGGCGCGACAGGTTTTCTCGGTCTCTCGATTCTTGGTTGCTTGCTGCAGGCCCCTAAAATCACATCGATCCACTGTGTTGCAGTGAGATCAGTGGAGAAGCTGCCCGGGCATGTTATCCACAGCCACAAAGTCACAGTTCACAAAGGAGATCTTTCGGAAATCCGAATTGGCCTTTCCAGCGACATCTTCACAAATCTTTGCTGCACAGTCGATGTCATCATTCATTATGGCGCCGCAGTATCTTTTGTCCAGCCTTACGCCTCACTACGTACTCCAAACATCTCTTCAACGAAAGAGCTCATTTGTTTAGCCTCACGACGGCGGATTCCTTTCCACTATGTATCCTCTGCCGGTGTTGCACAGTTCATGTCTCTCACATCCTTCCCAGAGATCTCAGTAGCAGGGCACGAACCACCTGATAGCACCGACGGTTATTTAGCTAGCAAATGGGTTTGCGAAGTTCTATTGGAGAACACACATGCACAACTGGGAATCCCAGTCGTCACTCATCGCCCCACTAGTATCATTAACCATGATTACTGGGTCATACAGGCGCGCGACAAAGTACCTGATATTCCAAAGAATGACGTTCTCCAAAATTTAGTTCAGTATTCGTTGAAGATAGGAGCTGTCCCCACCCTCAAGACCTTGACTGGGTGTTTCGATATCGTGCCAGTGGATACAGCTGCGAGGACGATAGTGCGCGATGTTTTCTGCGAATGGTCCGAAGGTGTTACGTACTTGCATATTTGTGGTTCAATGAAGGTATCGGTGCACGAGCTTGCAGATTTTCTTACTAAGAAGTGTGGGCGGAGGATTGAGAAGATCGCGCTTGAGAACTGGACTCAGAGGGCGAGAAAGCTTAGTATGAGCGAGGAACTAGTGGAATGGTTTATAGATCTGGATGGCGAAACGCGAGTCCTGCCTAACATTGTAAGGAAGCGTGAGTTAGCGTAACTAGTGTAAGAGGATCTATCTGGTGCAAAAGTCGGTGGAATTCCTTAGCAACACAACAATTTTCCCTTCACGCGTACAAACCTAAACATAAACTGTAAATTAACTAATTTTTTGCTAAAATTACATAATAACTATCAAATAATTATCTGTACAACTTATATAAATATTGTAACGGCGCAGGCAAGACAATGGGTCCGAATGCGGTAGGAATCCACTCAGAGGCATATGGGAGTGCGTGGGGACTTAATAACCTAGGAATTCTATTAACACCTATAGGTCTTGTACAAAAGGATATTAGAAAACTACTAAGCTAGCTAAGAGAAGAGGTGCAACTAAATACTTAGGGGAATAAAGGTAACTGCATAGAACAAGGTTAAGTTAGGGTTCGAGCTAATACAAAGACCCTTTAGATAGGTTCTAAGCAACCTAAGATAGAATAATTTATAAAAATGATTATACAACTTTTTTTTATAGTCTAATAGTTTTTATTTATAGTATTTAAGAAGTATTTAAAACTAATTTAAAACTAATTTAAATAAAATACAACTAAGTATAACCTTCTAACAAGAAATTTTTATTACTATAAAAAAATAAAATAAACACCTAATACCTATATAATGCTTTTATTATAATGTTTTTATTTAGTAGTAACTAGCAGTGTAGTTATTATTATTAATATAGTAAATTTATTATTTATAGTAATAAGTGTTTATATACTTTACTTATATAGTCTAGTTAATGTTGTTAATCTTTTCTTTAGTAATTATCTAAATTTTTATAGCATAAGTATTATTGTTACAACCCACGATTAGACTGTAAGATACCATCTACAGATGCCCTACTGTTTGGACAGGCAAGGCTAGAACTCTCTTGTCACTCTACCTGTCAGGTCACAGGACCTAACAGACAACAAATAGACAGACTTATTAGACTAGTGCACAGCTAAGTGTAGTGTCTTATAGGGAAGAGACAGTTAAGCGCTATAAGCGCTAATGCGCGCTACAGTAGTTAAGCGCTTACAACGCGCAACAACAATTAACCTCTAGGACCCTATGTATATAGTCTGGATTATAACTATTATTAGAAAGGTATAATTAAAGTTTAGTTTAGTTATTATTACATAAACTAATTAGCATTGCTACTTTTTAATAAAAGTAATTCTAATTATATATTTTACACTATATATACCTCTATTTTGTTCTATAGGAACTGTTTAACCTAAGCACTTTATACTGCTGTTAAAGGGTAAATTATAGTTAGCCTACCCCTTCTATCCCTAGAACTAAGGCTACACAGACTGTACATTTGTTAGTAGCCTAGCCTCTTCTTTTTTTAAAACCTCTACCTTTTTTTCTAGCCTAGTGTACTTTAGAAACTACTTTTCTAAAGTAAAAATTATAACATTAATTACTACCTTCTAATAAAGAATAAATTCTTAACAAACTACTACTAATATAGAAATAATTAGCACTACTCTTTTAAAAATAAGCTAAGCTCTAACACTAAATAAAGAAGCTATAACTAAGTAATTAAATAACATATAAAATAAATTACATAAACTTAAAGTAATAAATCTAAGGTAGATGTTATTATAGTTAGCATAAACTTAAGAAAGATTATAAACTATAAACTTATAAATTTAAGCCTTATAGCTAGAACTTACAAAGCTTTAAAACTTCTTCTAAAAAAAAATAAGTATTATAGCTAAGACAACCTTAAGGCTATTTTTACTAAAACTTTTTACTAAAAATTTAAAGAATCTTAGGCCTTTCTTTACATAATGCTATCTGTATATGTAATCTAACTAAGAAGTGTTTTAATTATATAAGGAAATAATCTTATAGATAAGACTTTACCTTAATAAGCTACCTATAATCTAGTTCTAACTCTATACTAATAACTAGATAAACTTTAAAGTAAATAGCTACATAGTTTTTTCTAAAATAAAAAAAGTGTTTAGTAGTATAAACTTTTTTAAAGAAGCCTTTACTATAATCTATAAGCTTATAGATAAAGAAAAGATAGTAGTAGATAAAGCAAACATCTTATAGTAAAGAAAAGAAACTATGCAACATTACACTACATAATTCTATAAATAGTTAGCTATTTATAAATAGACAGACTAGAAGACCTTTTACAAAATGTTTTATAAAGAACTTAAAAAAATAATTAAAGATAAATTTACATATAATAAAACGCTAACTACTTTAAAAAAATTTATTAAGTAGCAACTTATAATAACTATTATAGAAAATATAAGTGTAAAAAAAGACTTAGTAGAACACCTTAGAAGCCTAAGCTAGCACTTAGGAAGAAAAAAACACCTTACTATAATAAAAAGCCAATAGATCTAAGCTACATAAAACACATATAAGGCACCTCCTAAAAGAAGAACAGACTTTTAAAAAAAGGTAATAGGCTACTACTAATAAAGGAACAGAAGAAGAGAGTTTCGAATAAAGCCTACCTAAATTATAAAAAAGTAGGCTACTTTTATTAACAATGCTTAGACTTTAGAAAATTAAAAAATAAAAATTTAGGACTAGTAATAAAATCTATAAGTATGAAAAAAGGCTAAACTATAAATAAAATCTATAATAAGCTAAATAAAAGACTTTATTAGAAATGTAAAGTAAACTATAAACTAACAAATTACCTTATAAATTATTAGAAAGTAGAAGTCTAAGATAACTATAACATTAATTTAGCGCTAAAAGAAGCTATAGTTTATAAAAGACTATGTTACTTAACACAGGTTGTAAGCTATATATAAAACATAAAAAAGAAAGAAGAAAGATTCTTTTTAGTGCAACCTATAACAGGCACACTAGTAAAAAAGCTTGCCTAACAGTTCTAGAAAGGCTAGTGCTAGAAATGTAGAGCAGATTATAAACACTAGTATTATAAAATACTATATTAAGAGGTACTTATTAACAATAATGCAAAAACATATAGAGTAATATTAGATATTACTAAGGTCTATTATAGTGTTTTAAATAAAGAAAACTAATAGAATTTCTTTTAAAATATCCTTTAAAAAGAAAAAGCCGCTAAGTAGATACCTACAGCACTATTGTTAGATTGAAGCACTGTTTCTAGGCTTCCTGGGATGAATGATGGGTTTTGATATGATGTATAGGATGATGATTGATTGTATTAATTTATCAATTCTTTTTCTGCTCTACTCGTGTTGCTCGGCTTTTTGTTTTGCTGATCCAAGCCCCTCGCGCACTTGCCCTATGCGCAACTAGATTGCAACATGCTGCAATTTGCTGCAAAATGCTGCAAAATGCTGCAATTTGCAGCAACATACTGTTTAAGCTTATTGCTTGTACTATGTAGCAGCTTTTGTCAAACGTTCCTCCTGTCTTGACAGTAGGTGCGCATATCTGACACACCCCCTTAGCTTAGACATGCTTTAAGCTGGTTCCTAATTGCGCAACCTTAGTATGCTTCTAGGGCTTCTATTCTTGCTTTAATCTCTTCTATATCTGCTTCCTAACTAACTATCCTCTCCCTAACGTTAACTAGCTAAATTTGCTAAAGAAAGCTTAGCTATTTGCTAGCTAGAAGCGCTTTAGTAAGTCTATCTGCAAGCATCTTACTAGAGGGGACATAGACAACCTTAATTGTTTGTTAAGAGACTTCCTGTTAGAGCTAGTAGTTATAGATGTTAACATGTTAGAGCTTAGTTTAAAGTTAAGATATCTTTTTATTTACTAGTTAGATTGTCTACTTGTTATTACACTAAATTATAATAGTTAAATTAGGCAGCTTAACTTACAGTTTGTTAAAAAGCATTTTTATAAACATAGCTTTCTTAGCAACTAAAAACAGTGTAAGTAATTCTACTTCTGTTATTAATATTATAACTATATCTTATTTATTTACTTACTATGTAATCTATCTGCTAAATAGTTAAATAACATAGCCCTAAGAGCTTTTTTTATCTAGTGTATTATCTACAAATAATGCATTGCTTGCTACTATAAGGTAGTCTTCTTCTTTTAATTAGAGTGCGTACGTCTGTGTTGCATAGAGGTACAGGATAACTTAATTAGCTGCATCCTAATAGTTAGATACAGGATTTGTAAGAAACAGTGTAAGGCGTGATATAGCTAAGGTAATGTCTAGTTTTATAGTAACTGCTATAAAGAGCAGAGATCTAATCTTTTACTAATATTAATTTACTTTTAATAGGGTTGCAGAGCTAGATTACAGCATAAGTTTAATCCTACTTATAGGTGTAGCGTGCTGCAGGTCTTTTCTGTTAGCTAGCCTAGCTCTTTTATTAATATATAAGGCTTATAACAGCTAAATTATTTATTACTATTAGTCTTTAATAATCTTAACTCTTAAAAACTATTATAGGTCCTTGCCTTTTATTAGGGTATACTTCTCTTATAACTAGTCTACTACACGCTGTGCATCTACTTTAGAGCCTTTTCTGTACATAATAATAAAGTTGTCTACATAAAAAAAACAAATATTCTAGCTTTTATTATGTAGTAGAGTTTATGTAAAATAGCTAAAAACCTAAGGACTTTAAAGGTTATTATAAAATAGTGTTACTAGAGTAGAAAAGAAATTTATAGGCTATATAGTGCCTTTTAAAGCTTTAGTATTGTACTTAGTTTTAAATAGCCTTTTAGCATTTGCATGTAGATATTACAGTTAATTGCTGCATATATAAACGTGTTAGTTACATTATATTATTTAAGCTCTAGGTTAAAGTGTGCAGATATTACTATTAGCATTTAAAATAAGCGTTCTGCTAGGGTAGCAGCGTAGGTATCTAATGTAGTAATGTTTTTTTATTAATTACTGTAGACTACTAGTTGCGCCTTATATCTTTATAATTTATAGTACTTATTAAGCTTATAAGTGTACACCTACATATAATCTAGAATCTACTGTTTAGCTGCCTTAATTAGCTTTATCTAGACCTCTATCTAGGATTTTATTATCTAATAACTATTTAAGTGCGTTCTTTCTGCTACTTTAAACATTTTATATAAAGAGTGCTTCTCTAGTTACTTTTAAGTTAA